GTTAGCATGAGAGAGAAGAGGAAATGGTCCAAAGCCTTAGGAAATCATCTAGTAGCCCAGCCCATATCAATAGAATGCCTAAAAAACTAAAGTCACTTCCAGCAGCTTGACGAAAAGCCCATTAGATGCTGGAGATAACACACTGATAACCCGACACTATACACACAAGCCCAGCCCAAAGCCTTCTAAAAAGCTAGCGTCGTGCTCCATCCCTATTAGGACTCCAAACAAGTTAGACAAGGAGCCATGACAAGAACCAGCTGAGATTCATGAGTGAAGGACAAATACCCATCGAACAAAAGGCTCTACCCGTCCCCTTTTCCATTACGAGCTTCGTTTCGAAAACCAAAGAAAGAAAGCAGGTGGCGCCTCACCCTCATGGGGAGGTCTAGATGCGTCAAACCATTGGAACCACAAAGGGTCCCTTACCCATGCATCTCGAACGGAAGAATTTCACCCAAAAGGTTAAGTGGAAGGAAGCAATGAGAAAGGGAGGGAAATGATTAGGCGAAATTAGGGTTCTTCATGCCTATAAAAGGGGGCTTTTGCTACCCAGAAAACCAACCCATTCAGAGGCCTAACCAAGCTTTGTCAAAGCATCTGAGAATTCACTCAAGACACCCAATCTCCTTTTTCGTTCGTTTTCTTCTCCCTCTTAGGATAGGAATCGTTCTAATCTTGCTCTGTTCACTTCAGGCTCTTGTTCTCCATAAGAAATTTATGTCTCTCTCTCTCTCTCAAATTGCTAAACTTGTGAAAGCTTAGCTCCCATGCCACAGGCTCCTCAGGCTAAGCCGTTAATCGATTTATCATGCTTATTTGGTGTTAGTGAGATGAACCTAAGAGTGTTTTTCTAAAGTCTCATCGGATTTTATAAAAACCCTTTTGGGAGCGGTTTCGAACTCAGGCTTTTTGGGGAATTTTGTTCGTTGTCTTCTTACGGCAGCCCAAGCCCATTCTTCAGGCTGCTGGAACAAAAGACCCCTACAAAGGAGCAATTCAATTTTTTTGCTCATGTTGTTGTTCTCTTCTATTTTTTCTTTCTTATGTTTTTTTTTTCTCTCTTTTTCTTTTTTATAATATGTTTTTTTTTCATATATATATATATATATATATATTTCTGATTTGGCTTTCTTTGTATTTGTATAATCATTAGCAAACTCGAGAGAGTGGCTATTTAACATGAGAACAGTTGAAGCCATGGTTGGTCTCTCATGTATATTCTCCTGAACACATAGTAACCCAACGTGAATGTGAAAACTAATAATTAGCTGATGTGCAATCTTCAACAACATTTAACTCAAAAAAATTGATTGTTATAATACATTATGCAGACAGCAGGAGAGAACAAAAACCGTACCAAAAATGAACTGATCAAGACATGCATTAGGAACAAACTCATAGTGGCGGATCTATGCACAAGACAAGATGGGTGCCCGCCCATGCCAAAGTTTTTTCAAATTTTTAAAACCTACATATATGTTATAAGGGCAGCCCTAAATTAAAAAAATTAAAAGCTAACTCAATACACATGTTGCCCATCCAAAAGGAAGTGGTCCCATATCTTTTCTCTCCTCTTTTGGCTACATCACATCAGCTTGTTTATCTCTTCTAGAGTTAATCGTTTTATTAGTTCATGAATTTAAACCCAATTTGCATTTGAATACCTCAATTTCCAAAATGATTCTCGTGATCCTTTAACTTTAGTTTCGTTAGGACAAATTATTTTGCCGTCAATTTTGTTAACTTTTCTATTAAATGCAAGGGCAAAATGGTATTTTTGTATCAAAATTGATTAAAATATGAATAAAAAATAAAAATTAAACTCTTTCTCTCCTCCTCTAGCCCGATTTCTACTCCCCCCAACCTTTATTTATTATTATTATTGTTGGTTTTTTATTTGATTTGATTTTATTGTTATTTTAAAGATATGATTTTCTATTCATTTTTTTGGTTTTAATATAAAAATACTATTTTGCCCCTGCATTTAACAGAAAATGTTAACAAAATTGACGGCATGACCATTTGTCCAAATGAAACTAAAGTTAAAGGACCACGTGAACCATTTTGGAAATTGAGGTACTCAAATGCAATTCGGGTCAAAGTTCAGAGACTAATAAAATGATTAACCCTCTGTTCTATTTTATAGCAATCCGACGGTAGCAACATGTGGCAATATATTTTCCTCTACTTTCTACAACAAAAAGTATTATCTAAATTTCTAATTTTTCTATATCTTTAATTATAGTTTTAATTTAAAATTGAGTATTCTAAGATTTAGGTAGGGATTGAATTAAAATTTTGTGAAAATACTTCAAATCACCTAGATCTTTCATCTCAATTTCCAAAAAATAATTCAATTTATAGATATTGAAACTGACCCACCAAAAATTGGAATTTCAATCTAAAATTCCATACCAAGTGGATCTTGAGAGTTAATTCAACTCAAAAACTACAGCAGAATATAAAATCTAGAAAATATTAGGCTCAATAAGAAATACAAGAGAATAAAAAAAAAAGAAACAAAATCAAGGAAAATAATATTTGCTAGAGGGTGATGAGATGAGGTCCAAGATTTGAATATACATCAATAACACATCATACTTGGGCTAAGATGAGATGGAAGATGGCGCGTGCAATTTGCATCAAGCAGTCGTCACTATCAAGAGAGAAGAGAGATGAGCAATCTATACATGGGAGGAAGACTCAATCACCGTCGTCGAGAAATAGAGGAGTTGGCAGTTGAGATGGGTGGATTATTGGTCGAGAGTGATAAAAGAGCAACTTTTCTGTTTTAGAAAAACAAATCTCAAATGAAATTAGGGATTGATCAGGGTTGAGATGGATAGATATGTTAGGGTGAGGAGAGCACCACCATATTTTTTCTATTTCTTTTTATTTTTTTTTGTTTTTTAAATAATATATATATATAATATTACCTGCTACCTGCTATGGCAGTTTTGAAAAATTGGCGCATCGGTGCTCCAAATCCACCTTAAACGTTGCCTTGGATCGAGCCGACTCGTCAGATACCCATTAGAAATATGTCATATTCATACAGGCGTGTGACGAGACGAGTCGAGTCGAATATCATAGTGTTCTACCTTGAATTGTTTAAAATTTGAAGAGTGATTTGAAATTTTTTTTTACTAGTTGAGCTTGATATGAGCTCAAATTGTATTGAGCTAATTTACAATAATAAACTAACATCAAAGAGATTGATATTTAAAAAATACTTTTAAACATAAGATTCAAAAAATAAAAATACAAACATATAATATATTAAGAATAATACAAAGTACTTTCTTTAATATAAAAATTACAAAGTACTTTCTTTAATTAAAAAAAAATTACAAAGCAGATATAAAACTTCAAAAAGAAGAAAGCAAACACAAATGCTTTGAGGTTTTTTTTTGGATGTAGTTTCTTGGAAATTATTGTTCATTTCAACACAAAATTCTTATCATTGATTTGTTCACAAGCTTATCAATAAAAAAAAAAAAATTTGTTTCTTAAACGAACCAAGCTCGATTTGTCTTGTTCCTTTTATGAGCAGAGCTCAGATAACCCAAATTCGATTCAAATTCAATATGAACTCGAGCTTTCTCGAGCCAGCTTACACACTTGTGTGTTTGTATTAACTTTTTTTTTTTTGGTTACATTGAGAGGAAAGAAATTCCTTGGGGTTTCAAACCTAGGTGTCAAGCAGGGGGGAAGGGGGAGGCCGCCATTGTAGTACCTATTTTAAAAAGGGAGTTTCACTAAAACACCCAAAATGGGGGTTGAAATTATAAAAAAACCCAAGCACTATTTAAACATATAAACACACCCAAAACTCATCATTACACACACTCAAAACTCATTTATAAACACACCCAAAAAGTTGACTTTGGGGTTGATTTTGGGTGTGTTTATATGTTTAAATAGTGCTTGGGTTTTTTTATAAATACATGTCTAGGATTGGGTTTATTTATAAATTTGTATTTTAAAAACTCATCGGTGACTTGTTAAGAAGTAAATATATTATGCTTATTATTTTATTTTTTTATACTTTTGATTATTTTATTTGGACAATTTAGAATAGATGTTTCTTATGTATAATGTTTAGACAATAAACTTGTTGTAACATATAAATTTTTAAAATGATTTTTATTTCAAATTACAAATGAACATGTCGTGTCATGTTTGTCTTTGCAATTCTTCACATGTTAGTTTAATGGGTGAGCTAATTTTTACTCTACGAAACAAATCTGCAAAATGTAACATGTTGCCAAATATAGTTATAGAATGATGGTGTAATATGTGCTAAAAGTTTTTCTTTTCTTTTCATGAAATGTCAAGTAACTGAATAAGGCTCTCGCTGTTGACTAAAAAAATTAAGAAAACATATGAATTCCTAAAAAAATACTGCCTTTTTTTAATTCATGAAACCGTGAATGCAATCTCTAAAAAAGTATTGGCATTTGTGACTGACGACTTTTAGGCCTTGGATATGGTCAAGACGAGTTGAGATCTTCTATTCTATACCAAATTTCTCTTTCTCCTCTGTGGCCCTTATGTATTTGAATGACACGTGTCCCAATTTATTATTAAAGAAACACTATATTTTTTAATTCATGTCGTTGTATTAATTAAAAAAGAGATCTGGTTGAATGTTCCCCTCCCCCATCGTCCCTTCCTTACCAATAGCGAGGGTAAAAAGGGAACTACAAAATACGGTGTTTCTGTAATAATAAATTGGGACATGTGTCACTCAAATACATAGGGGATAGAGAGGAGACAGAGAAATTGGGTACAAAAGATTTCAACTCGGTCAACCCAAGGTCAAGACACTGCAAGGACCAATTAGTAATTGTCTAAAGAAAAACTAGAGTCCAAACGTAATTGTTGAAACGTTTGTGGACATATTTAAATTACATAACATATTGGGGTCAAAATTGTAAAAAATAACTTTTCTAAACCTAGAAATCTTATTCAGCCGCACGCACCATCTCCTTCACAGCCGCAGCAAATTCGGTTTTCTTCTCTTCTCTCCCTCCCTCCCTCCCTCCCTCCTTCCCTCCACAATCTTTTGCTTCTCGTCTAAATTTCCTCTTGCTGTTAATTTTCTCTGGCTTCTAGTTTTGTGACAGTGGATTAATAAAGATTTGCTACTATGTCGGCAATGGGTTCTCACACCAACAAGACGTCGCAGAAAAAGGATCGTCCCCAAATAATTAAATTGAATAAAGCATTGGAATTGGTATGATAATTTCATCCTCCACTGCAATGTTACTGCCTTGTTTGTGCTTCAAAATTGAAAATTTACGAATATGCAGGCTAAAAAATGGGTTAATGACATGACTGAACCAGCAGAAGATGAGCATTTTGAAATACAGAGTCGACCTGCTAGGCAAGTTTTTTAATTTATTTTTATTTTTTTATTTTGGGGTGAAGGGGGTGTAATTATCTTTATTGGTTTTCTCAGGCTTGGACTAGGTGCTAAAGTTCCCCGGCCATCCAAATTTGTACCTTCAGATGATCCCCTGGAAAGGAAATTACACTACAAATTGGATGCTGGAAGAAGAGCTGCTGCCAAAATTGCCGAGGAGTCCGCCGCCGCCGCATCGGCTGCTAGCGATGATGACGACGATGAAGATTTAGACAGCAGAACCAAAGCATTTGAGAAGAAAAGACCTGCAGCTCCGGTGACCCCATCGTTAGGGGGAAAGAAAAGGAAGAAAGTTAACCATAACACCCCTGGCAGAAGTTGATTTTAGAGATTGGGTTCTGTTGTTCTGGTAACTTCGTACAATTTCTTTATCTGTAATTATAGATGTTCAGTCAAGAAATCAAAGCTTGTGGAAAGGTGGTAGGAACAAATATTCCACATTTTCCAAACCAAAGTTACGGCTTGTTCAGTGCTAAATAAGATCTCCTCTTAATTGGTGAAATGTTGCTTCTCATCCTCTGGATTTGGATGCACATATATGACTGGCTTTCCAACTGCCTCAACCAGAAGGTGGGTTGGTTTTCGGCATGGACAATAAGCCAGATTGTGTCTTTTTCATTTGACTCGGCCGTAACTAAAGCATTTTCACTTTTGGGACTTCCGAAGGTCCATCCGCGTTCCGGTGACAATTTGATCCAAAGTATGAGGCAATGGAAGCGGAAGGAGATGCCAATAAACTCCTGTCCAGACCTCATGTATCGCAGTTTTCAGGTCTGGTACTGGCCCGTAGTGGTTGTATTGACAGGCCAAAATGGAAATGCATGCCAAAATGAAGTGCCTCCAGCACCAAATGATACGTAATATATATTGTTTGTGTTTTTAATTTTAGGTGGCAAGAGGTATAGGGCAAGGAAGGGTTAATCTGTGAAATGGCATCCTCACAGCATTTTCCCTTCCAATCACTATCGTCTTCACTTACTCAATAGAACACACACACACACACAAAACTAAAAACATTTTGTCTATGCTTTCTTCTTTTTGAAGTTTATATCTACATTGTATTGTTTCTAAAGTCTCATGTTTGTAATTTTATTTTTGAAGCTTACGTTTAAAAGTATTTTTTTAGTACTAAATATCAATCTCTTTGATGTTAGTTTATTATTGTAAATTGTCTCGATATAGTTTGAGCTCGTATCAAGCTCAACTTATAAAAGAACAAACCAAATCAAGTCAATCTATAGAGACCAAGGTGGTTGTGTGTTTTATGTTTGTAATAGTGGTCATAAATATGGAGGAAATAGTGTTAATTTATAGTGAAATATTTTGTTCTATAAGGTTATTTTGTGATGTATAAGTAATGGGCATGGAAAGCTTTTGATGGCAATATATCTTCTTGAAAAACTTTTTAGCAATGTAGAAATGGGCACCGAAAATACCAAATGAATATGGTAAAAGTAATACTTAAGCAACATAATAACATTTACCAAATAGTCAATCCAACATCCTTCACCAAAATACAATCCAAAATAGACATTAACATTACTTAATCCAACATTATAAGATCCTTCAAAGTAAATCAAAATGTGTCCATCCACAAAGTACTTCAAAGTCTAAACGTGTTCAAAATAAGTCTTCATCCAAAATAGACATTGACAAAGTACTTAAAAATCAAAATGTGTCCAAAATAAGTCTCCATCCAAAATAGACATCCGCAAAGTACTTAAAAGTGAAAATGTGTCCAAAATAGATGTCCATCCAAATCTAATATGAACTCGAGGTTTCTCGAGCCAATTTACACCTATGCATGTTCGTATTAACTTAAGAAACTCTCGTGGGGATAACATATTAGACTAACACACATTACATGGATGTTAGGACTTGAACTCAGAATCTCTCTTGGGGAAGCAATTGCTCCAAACAATTATACTAATGGGTCCTTTGTGACTTTTGATTATTTAATTTGGGCTTTTTAGAATAGATGTTTCTTATGTATAACGTTTAAACAATAAATTTGTTGTAACATGTGAATTTTTAAAATGATTTTTTTTAGATAACATGTTGTATCATATTCTTCTTTGCAATTCTTCACATGCTAGTTTAATGAGTGAGCTAAGTTTCACACTGTATAAAAAAGTATGCAAAAATGCAACATGTTGTTAGTTATAGGATGAGGATGTAATATGCACTAAAAAGTTTTTTTTTTTTTTTCTTTTCATGGATTGTCATTAAATAACTAAATAAGGCTCTCACTATTGATGAGAATATTTTTATAAAAAATGAGTCCCTAAAAAAGTACTCTTTTTATAATTCATTAAACTATGAATGCAATCTCTAAAAAGTGTCACTCCCCAACCCATGGATTTATGTAAATTTGAATTAGGACGTGATTCAACCCTAATTATAGAATTTTAAGGAAAACTATAATTAAAATGTGAAGAACTTAAAGTAAATAAATAAACATCTCCCAAATAGAATTTCCAGCGTAAGTTTTCAAAATATTATATCACTACAATATTTTACAAGTTAAGAATTACTCGAGAGTTTATTAAACAAGTAGCTCATTATTCAACCACAAGCTATGTACACAACACTTCTACAGACAAACCAGTTCATCTCAAATCCTAGTTTTCAGGTTTAGCACTTGCAAAATCTGTTAAGGGGTGAGCGAAACCAGAACTCAGTAGGGACATAAACATTTCCACAGTAAGTTGATATAACTAAATTAAGTGGCATGCAATCACACAACCAATTATCATATTAATAATAATAATAATAGTGCATGAATGCTCTTCAACTACTCCCGTTAATTCATTTAATTGGACGAGCAGACCTACACGTCCCATATCATGCTTATACCACTTGGTCCCAAATGCCCATTTATATGAACAAACATGCATCTCAATCATCTCATAATTCCCCTTTTGTTAGTCATCTTGTCTAACTCCCTATTGCCAGTCCTGCATCAACTAATAAAAACCATGTCCATTGTGGGATCCCCGAGATCTGGTACCTACCTATAGTTAGACTCAACTGCACTAAAGATTATTTATATACCCTCTTTTCCATCATTATTTTCTCAATCCAACAATTTCAGCCAATTTCTATGACATGATATAAATATGTCTTTTACATATCCTAACAATGTAACAATTTAAAACATCACCAATGTATATATAATTATGCCAACATTGTTCAAATGGTTAATAACACGTAAACACCCAACATCAAGAACATCCATCAAATTATAATATCACACATAATATAGTGCTCATGAAATTTAATGAAATCAATTCCCGCAAAAGGCCCCAAAGAAACCCTTTACTTGACACCAAAGCTTTTGCTAGAATTGTAAGACGACTCCCTAATTTCCACCGCATTCACGCTCAAATTCTTTCTAGTATTTCCCTCCCTTTATCTCTTATTGTTTTCCTATGCAAATCATGCATGCCGTGCATTTCAAAATGAAACAATTGCACTCCTATTTATACTAAAGGAATGTTGGCTACATTTTCATTTTCTATTGGATGAAGCAATTGGCGGCTACTAAAGGATAACAACATAACAACTTATTGTTCAAATAAAAGCCTAAATATCACCCTTTTGTTTGAACAATTGAATATTATTGGAGGTGTTAATAAGATGAAAACTAACATGCCACCTCCAGCTTACATAACGCCATCACTATGTAAAAAGCCACCCAACTTGCTTGCTCCTCACACATAGTTTAAACACAATCTTTCCAATAATATCAAGTAGACACCTCATGCTTTGATAGCAAAAGTGATATGCAAACTAGTGGAAAATTCCAACTACACCGAACAATGCATTAGATGAAAGATGAATATCCATGCCACAAATGAATAACACTTCCAACTTCTTTGAAAAAAGTAGAGACCTACTTTATCTTTTACTTACCCAACCAAAATTTATCAAAGCACCCATTAGAAAGAAAAAAAAAAAAAAAAAAGCAATTATTAAAACCATAGATTCCATATATAAACTAGAAGTTAAGAATAACCAACAAAACTCACTGTAAGAACCAATCAAATTGAACTATATATGTAATTAATTAAATTATATATATATATATTATATATATATATAAGTCAACTATTATTTATATACAATTACTATAATTTAATACTTACTGAAGTAAAAAAATATTAACATTTAAGAATAAGGATTCTCACAAAAAATGTTGGTCATTGTGGCTCACGACCTTTAGGCATGAATTATGAATGCAATATATCACTTTTAACTATATAAAAAAGGTATTGTTTTTTAAAATTCATGAAACTATAAAGATTCAAATGAAATAATTATCTTCGAATTTTACAACGTAAGATTAAAAATTAATTGTGAAAATAATATCAGTTGAGGTACACTACAAAAAGCTTATTACAAGAACCAATTTTTCTTGGGAATAGACTAATGAACCAATTTGAAAGATAAACCAATGTACATTACGTTACCTATTTGAAAGAAATCAATTTAGCTCATGATATAAATAAAATGATCAAATATACCCTGCAAATGAATACCTAAACTTACAGAAACTCTCCAAAGAAACCGTAGCTCCCTCTCTCTCAAAAAACACTCTAGAGCCGTTTTCATTTTGAGAGGGGAGGAAGTCATTGTTCTCCCTCCCCTCTTCCCTCTTCTCCTATTTTCAGAGACAAAATGTTTTTCCTATTTGTTTTCATTTTTTTTTTAATGATTTTCCTCCAATCATCACATGTGGCTGCATCTTAACATCGGATTTCCACCTACATTTCGACATCATATTTCCACCTTGTTTAGACGTCAGATCTCCACCACCATCATTTTTGCAGTTTCTTTATGTTTGGAATAAGTCACAGAGAATCGTTGGGTCCTCTGTGTAGTTTTCACCTCTCCTTTTCTGAGAGCTTTTCACCTCTCATTCGTGAGAGATTTTCATCTCTCCTTTGTGAGAGTTTTATTTGTATTGTTATGACTTTGTTTTTTTCAAGCTTTATCTTTTTTTATTGGTAGAAAAAGTTTCTTCGATCATGTGTGATTGTTAGTGGAGACACATCAAATTGTCTTAATTTGATGTTAGATCGCTCCATTATTGTAATGGTCATTTGTGATTAGTTTGTGTATAGTGACTTTTTTGGTTGAATTATGAATAGCAATTCAAATTTTTTTATAAATTAAAGAAAAATTAAAGAAACCCTAAGAGATTATGTTACACAAACCACTAGTACATTTGTTAAATGCTGACATGTCATGTCCCTAATTTTTTTTTTTACCGATGCAAAGTCTGCATAGATAATAAAAAATTAATAGAAAACTGGGGACATGTTTGAACCTAAAAACAAATTAATAAAAAATAATATTTCTTAGAGTACTTCCACCCATTTGCCATGACAAAAGGTAAGAGAAGGCAATGACTGTTAATATTTAGGTGAATAGTGGTAGCCCTTGCAAAAGCCAAGGTATGTTTCCACCCATTG